GGTGATGGTGATGGTGATGGTGATGGTGATGGTGATGGTGATGGTGATGGTGATGGTGATGGTGATGGTGATGGTGATGGTGATGGTGATGGTGATGGTTATTGTTATTGTTATTGTCGCCTACTGCCAATATGGTTATGCACCGTTTTTCCTTTACTCTAGCTCCAGATAATCCGCCCATCAACATTACCGCAACAGTGATGTACCGCCCTAACATCACTTTTGACTACGTCATTATTACATGGGAACCGGTAAACGAGGGATTAAACGGAAAACTTCGCGCATATAATATACGCTGGAGGCCTGCCGCAGGAAACGCAAGTTACAAGGAGGAACGTATTAACATAACATCCTCGCAATCTCGGAGGAGGAGGAGGAGGAGGAGCACGAACACGATAGGTGATTGCACCAACGACAGAATATTTGAGCTAAGAAATTTGAGTATTTACACCAATTATTCAGTCGAGGTCGCTGCCGTCACCGTCAAAGTTGGAGTATACAGTGATCCGAAGTATTTTCTCTCTCAGCAAGGAGGTATGCGTTGAATTTGATTAACACCTAATTTCTCATTACACTATCAAGACATTCTAAAGAATTAACACTGATGTCGATAATGAAGTAAATGATCAACCAGGGAATCCTTAAGTTGATGTGATGTGTGATTTTCAGAACGCAACTAAACGAAATGTACTGATGAGATCAGTTAGAAGGTTTTTATACTTTATTTCAAAGCTACCTGTGAGGGCGACAGACGCAGTACAGATTGAAAAAAGACAACCAGAGATAATGAAGATGTTTACACTTATCCGGCTTCAAATCCGTTTTTAACAATAGCTGTCTAATTTCTCGCGCGCTGATTGGCTCATTTTTATCATCAATAAGAGTACAGACGGATAAAGTTTTAATTTATGCAAGCTTTCAAGTTCAACTTTCAGCTGTCAAACTGTCAACTTTTTGACCAATGAGATTTTATGGACTTTTTAATTAGCCAATCAAAAAGCGAGAAAAGATATTGACAATGTTCGCGTCATTTTGAATAAAATTCACTCATCTTTGTTTATGACAAGTTTACGACGTCTTCTCTCCTCATTTATTCCTGGTATTTGACCATTTTGAGGTCTTGTTATTGAAAAAAACAAATTGACGTCAGTTTTTAATGACCACGAGCCGCAGGCAAGTGGTTTCGCAGTAAACTTTGACAATGTTATGACGAAATTTATCATCAATAAGAGGACAGACGCATAAAAAACGTACGTCAATTTGTTAATTTGGCGGCGGTTTCAAAATTATAATAATGGCTTATATGGCTAACTTTTAAACCATACTAAACATTAAATTTCAGTTGAGTTCTTGATGGAGTAACACATTCTCATATTTTACAGGGAGTGAAATGCATGATCACTGATTAGGAGAATTGATATTTTCATCAATGAACTTTCTATCACTTGGTTCTATCCTGTAATAGTTCCATCATTGCCTCCTGGAAACGTAACTGCCTTCAATGAAAGTTCCACCGAGATTATGGTCACGTGGTCTCCGCCCAGTGAGGACAGTGTTCGCGGTGTACTTCTTGGCTATGAGATTACTTACACTCCAGCTTGCAAAAATGCATCAGCGAGCCGAAGAGTTATGCTGTGTGGAAGAAATACATCATTTCACCTGGAAGAACTTTTAAAATACACGCTATATAATATCACCGTCGCCGCCTTTACCCGAGTGGGTATTGGAAAAGAAAGTGAGATTGAGCAGACCTGGACCGATGAAGACAGTAAGTGAAGGCTTACATGACGCTTATATTCGATTATTGGTAATTTTTAACGTACAATACCTTTTTCACAAACTTTGACACAATTCAGTTTTAAGTTGTACTTTTCAGTTTAAAGAAAGGAAATCATGACACGGTGCTGGTGTTTGGATATCTGGTCTTAATTTACATAGATTTTCACGACTTTATCTCTCCGTTTTCTCCTTAGTTTTAGTTTCGATTGAGAAGTGATATATCAGGCACTCAAGACAGAGTTTGACCACATTTTCAAACACAGCGCAATTCGTCAAAAATACTCCGCTATGCGCCATATTTCAACTCTCTTCTCGGTGTTTAGAAACGTGACCAAACACAGACTTCCGTTTTTGATATACAGTTGAACCTCGCTGTTTCGAACTCTCTGGGGAAATGAAACATAGTTCAAAGTAGCCGATAGTAAACGACTGAATGGCAAATCCGAGCGAAATGGTTTGAGTTCGAGATAACGGATAATTCGAAATAACCGCGGTCGCCATGTTAGGGGGGGTCCAACTGTATTACATACCGGAAACTCGAGATTGATACAAATACTACAAAGATATCTAAAAGATGTGATATGAAAGACACAGTTACGATCGATTCAAAGGGCAAGTTGGATTAAATCTTACATTTGACATTATTTTTGTGTGTTTAGAACCGGACGCGGCTCCAGAAAACGTCAGCGCAGTATCCACGACGTTTTCCAGTATAAACGTAAGCTGGGAACCTGTACCTAAGGCGGAACAAAATGGCATCATCACTGAATACGAAGTGAATGTGTCGAAAGTTAGCGGAGGGTTGGAAAGCCAAACTAACATCTTTACTAAAAACCTCAGTGCTGTGATACAGAACTTAACAATGTTGGTGATGTATAGGATTGAAGTCCGGGCTCATACACGTAAAGGACCTGGGGAGTACAGTCCGCCAAAAAAGCTGATGACGTTGGAAACAGGTAATGCTTTCAGGAAATAGCATGAGTCTCATCTCCTTTTAGTTTTGAAAAAAAAAAAAAATTGTAGCCACTTTATTAAGACAAGAGAAGGACAAAATTTCCTGCAAGAAATGGTTAAACTTCATTTCGTGTTTCAGTTTGAAACATCTCAACATTGACCACTGAAGCCCGTATTGCATATAAGTGCATATAAGAGGAAAGTTGTGTGGAAGGACTTTTGTCTCTATACCAAATAGCAGGTCAATTGTTCCAGAACAATTAACATCCTGGTTTATACCTGCCTCGATTTTTCATGTCCTTGAAAGCTAGTCAGGGCCTTGTACCTTACAATATTCAATCTGTTTTGCCACCCTCTAGCGATCAGGAGCAAGCATGTGAAAACCAGCCTTTAGTTTCTTATTTGACATTTCCTCTGTATCGTTGTTACTGTAAGAGAAACAATCGATATAATAATACCTTCACGCCAGTCGCAATCATTTTAAAAGGTATATTTAGTTTAAATACCTGTAGTTTGTGGTGCCTTATCCAACACAAAACGAAGTTTAGTGCAGAATAAAGATCAAACCAGCGTGGGAGCAGGAATGTATCAGTGGTGAGAGCGCTCACCTACCCCCAATGTGGCCTGGGTTCGATTCCGGCCCGGTGCCATATTTGGGTTGCGTTTGTTGTTGGTTCTCGCCTTGCTCCGCGAGTTTTTCCTTGGGTACGCCGGTTTTCCTTCCTCCAGTAAAACCAAGATCTCCAAAATCCAGTTCCACTCGGAGAGAGGACCCGCGTGAAAATCACCTAAGGCTGATATGGCTTTCACGCTAGATATTGTAATTTATTTCATTTATGACACGTTTTCGGGGATTCAGAGCACATCATAGGAGCGGAAGAAAATTTGAACGTGCGAGATAGGTACAACGAGAGATAACAAGAAACTTCGTTCGAGCCAACTTCGCACGTATTTAGATTGATGAAAACTGACCAAAAAAACACTTCTCCTAAAATTGAAGTTAATACAATTGTTTGTCATAAACACGATGCAGCATCAATATCACGAATAGCACCTGTTTCCATTACAATTTAAAGATAGTTCAATTCAATTCAATTTTAATTTAAACTCTCGCAAACATAAATTTTACAGAGGTGTCAGAAAAAAAAAGAATACATAAAAATATATACAAATTACATTTTTACCACAATTGCTACTAATCTCGCGATCTGATTGGCTAATTTGCCGTTGTCGATAAGAGTCCAGACAGCGCTACTCGCGTCAATGTGTCACGCAATGCCTTTTTCAGCTCGCGCTCTTGAAAAAACATTTTCTTTATTAGTTGATATTGTGGTAGAAAAACAAGTCGAATGTGGTTTAGTGCTGTCTGTACTCTTATCGACAACGATACGCGTCATCACAATCACACTGGTCAAAATTTTTTGTGGACTCACGAGGCGCCGAGTGAGTCCACAACACTTTGACGACTGTGATGACGCGTACTCGTTGTCGATAAGAGTACAGACAACGTTAAATCACATTCGATTTGTTAAATAGAAGATGATAAATAGCATTAATGAAACAATTTACTATTGTGATTAAAAAATAAATTGTTAAAGATAGAAAGAAAAGGAGAAAAAGAAAGACAAATAGCTTAACTACAAGGTTGATTGTGTGGAGTTTAGGACACCTAGTAAATAGTTATATGGAACTAATCGAGTAGGTGCCCCAAAGTAACTAAATTCAGCAGAAGGAATGCAGTGTTAAATAAACAATTTAGGTTAAAAGTTTTTCTTCCAGATCTAACTACAGAAGAATTAATTACACTTCAACTTAACAACTAGTAATATTATTATAATAGCTTTTGTTGTTGTTTCTCTTTCCAGCCCCTTCCGTTGTTCCCACCAACCTTACAGCCCGTCTTACCACCGGAACCGCAGTTATAGTAGCATGGCAAATTGCAGACCTGGAACCTGGGTTTAGACTCCGGCGATACGTGGTATTTTACAGAGAATTGGTACATGGAGGGAGTAACAAAACCTTAAATACGAGCTCCACTGAAACGACTGCAACTCTAAGCGGTCTGAATTTTTTCACTACGTATGAAATCAAAGTGGCGGCGGCCACCAATTTCATAGGAAGTTACAGCGAACCGGTTAATGTTACAACCAAAGAAGGAGGTAAGACAATAATTCAGCTATCAAGAGGAAATGGGGAAAAAAAAATCCAGATCCTTAAGCTTCACAATTAAGCCAGTCCATTACGAGGGTCAAGATGAGGATACTGCAATGTAGGTCATCAATTGGACTATTGTAAATGTCTGGCGATTTCTCGGCTATCAGCTTTTTGAACTACAGCCATTTCTCATGATCAGCTGCAATACATTTTGCAGATCTGACACCTCAGCTATCAATTAGCAACGCGTTATTTCTGACCTGACAGAAAAATGTTGAGAGAATCTCAGTTGTCAGTTAAAACTTGAGCTAGACACTCTACTATTAGTGCATTATTTATTTAATCTTCATTAATCGTCATTAATCTTATCTTTATTACGCTTGCCTTGACTTAGTTAAGTAACAATGCACGAATACCTGGAATGATTCAGTTTGCGGAACAAACATAATGGAAGCGCTCTGTATACCGTAAACTGCCGCTGATAAGCGCTCCCGCTTATAAGTCTCCCCTCTCTTGCCCCTTCCCCCCTTCCCNCCCCCCCCCGCGCATATAGGTCCATCTTCCTGTAAATGAACAAAATATTACTTGCGATTATAAGTCTCCCCGGATATAAGCCCTGTTCTAGTTTAAAAGGAAATGAGATCTATTTATTACGATGTTTTAAGGCTAGATTAAAAACCAGTATAAGAAAAACTTATCGCGATCAACACCGGCTGTAGCTCATTACGAAGCTGTATTAGCCCGGGGCTCATAAGCCACAGTTTACGGTGTATGTGTATGTCCACAGCGCATGTCTTGTAGTTCTGTGCATTGAGTGGAATTGCGGGTATAATGTAGAACGTTTCTCGTTATTGTTGTAGTACCACAGGGAGCCCCAGTAAACGTCACAGCGATTCCAGAGACAAATTCTAGCATACGAGTGAGTTGGGAGCCTGTACCCAAGGAGGAGCGTAACGGGACTATCACTCACTACAATGTCAGAGTGACGAACAAAAGCAGCGGGGAAGTGTTAAATAAGAATGTGACTGTGAGCGGAGGGGAAGTTAAACAATCAACGTCGATACGCAACTTGGAGATGTATGTCACCTACAGTTTTCAAGTCCAGGCTTTCACCCAAAAAGGCGCAGGTCCTTTTAGTCAACCTCCCGTCAATGGAACGACTACACAGACAGGTAAGGCTGCCCAAGAAGAACAACTGTAAGGAGAATCAAAATTTGAGACACTCATTCGTCGCTTTAAAATAAGTGTTCGTCGGTGGGAAAGATGAAAAACGTCTAGTCATCCCGGGGCAGGGGTGCCTTGGTGTTGTGGTTGCGTAGATCGCTTTTCCAACCGATCCACGCCAGGAAGGTCCACGCCTCCATCCCCCCACACCTTATCACAGGGTGTGGTGGCGGCAGTAGTAGGTATACTAGCCCTTGCTTTTCCAGCTTGTCTGCCACCTTCGGCTGCAGCTAGTGATCTCGTTGGTTTTACATGTTGTGTGTAGCCGAACGCCATTTGGGCTGTCCAGAGCAGCCTGTTCCCAGCTGTCGTGCTTAAGGTCTTGAGAGAAGCTTTCAGTGTGTCGTTGAAGCAGTTCTAATGGCCTCCTTTGGAATGCTTGCTTAGGCCGAGTTAGCTATATAAGACTATTTTTGAAAACCGCTGGTCTGGCACGCGATCCACATCACCTGCCGAGCTTAGCTGGGCAAGAGAAAGCGAGCTTTATAACGTAAATTTGTCTACGATGTAATTTTATCGAAAGCGAGCTTTATACTGTAAAGAGAGTTATAACACAGAATGGATAAAACTTTGACTAATCCTTTTGGACCGACAATTTCTAGAAGCTTAAATTCTTGACTAGGCTTTAAAAACAAACACAAATCAAAATTAATACCTTGTAGAACGGCACTTGGCAATGGACGAGAATATATTGCAAAAAAAGGTATGACTAAAAATAGCGAATGTATAAACGGGCTTAATCTACCAATCAGTCCGATAGCAACAGCTCACGTTTTTCTGCGCGACAAGTCACGGTGTCCGTTGAGTGACAGTTACAGAAACCAAAGAGAAAAGGAATGCCGTATATCCTCGAATTAGCCTCCTCCCCCCTCGAATAAGCGCCCCCCTCGAATAAGCGTCCCTCCTATCGGTCAAAATTCAAAATAAGCGTCCCTCGTGGAATGAGCGCCCCCTCCCCTCCCCTCATTTTGTGGACGTGTACTGAGACAACAAAGGATGCATAGTTTTCGATTTGCACATTGTTTCAGTTTGTGAACACGTTAAGTACTAACGGTGCCGCGATTTAAACTTCAGGATCAGCTTTTTATGTCGATAAATAGCTCATGCTGTTATTTACGCGCAGATGATGTATTGAAAAAAAAAAAGATCATATCAGGCCACCAAACAATGGAAACAGTGTTCAGTGAAATTTGTGAAATCTCGGAGCTTGTCAAAAATGTTGAACTGATCGAGTTCCCTTTAACCTTTCATTACCAGCTCCTGACGTTGTCTTGAACGTTACTGCAAAAGCTCAAAGCCACTCCAGTATTATGGTCACATGGAAAATAGAACACATTCACGACCAGTTGAGAGCAAAGAACCTCACAATAGAGTATTGCGAAATGAAACGCAATAAGCCAGAGGAATTGGATAAGGGTTGCAATCCCTGCAAATACAAGAACATCACTGAAATAACAGATATAATAAGCTCACATACAGAACTTCTTACTGGTCTGCGGAGCTATACGAGATACCGCGTCAAAGCGAAAGCAATAAACATCGTTGCTAAAGATGGGACGGAAGTTACAGCTCCGTATGGGAAGTACAGCAACCCGAGTTATAACAAAACACAAGAGGGAGGTGAGGAATTCGTTTTTCTTAAAATAGGTTTTGATTGATTCATTGATTGATTGCGTTCGAGAGGTTCTAATCGGGTAATGGACAAAAAAATTGAGTTGCTGAGTATGTATCTCTCAATGGACACCAATCCCNAAAATTCTTCAGGGGCGAATGACATCATATCCCTGTTCGTCCAGGTGATCTTTCGAGTGTTGTGCAATATTGCGGACTTCCGAGTGTCGAGGCAGCTTATTGTAGACTGTAGCGGATGAGTGGTTTATTTAAAGTTTGAAGTTAGTGTTAATGGTATTTAAAAACCTTGCAGACATGTCATTACGAAATGTGTACGACTTTTCGTACCAACAGAAAACTGTAGTTTGGCTGCGTGTCGTGTACCCTCTTCTCTTCGACCAAAACGAACGTTGCTTTCTGCTGAATAAATCAAAGGAGGAAATGTGTAGTTTCACTTTGCTGGACTAGATTTCTGTTCGCAAAATATGTAACATAAACCCAACGAAAGTGTTTTCATAGGAAAAGAGTTCAACCCCCACAGGATTACTTTAGTACACCAACATGTCCTCCGTTTCATTGTTTCGGACTTGAAAATGCTCAATAGCTGTTCTTCCAAAGCCAAGGCGATTCAAAGTCGTGTTCGTAAATAGAATAATTGTCCTAGTTTGGGTAATAAATGCACGTTGTATCGCATTCCGACGAAACAGGCAACGTTTGTGTAGATTTACACAGTCGAGAATCGTAGGGTTCCGGTCAGTGTAAAATATGGACTGCGGACTGCGGACTGCGGACTGCGGACTGCGGACTGCGGACTGCGGACTGCGGACTCCAGGACTGGGTATAAAACACGGACTGAGGCATAAAACGAGGAATAAGCATTACGGACTGGGTATAAAACACGGACTCGGGTATAAAACGCGGACTGCAGACTAAATGCGGCCTACCGACTGCAGTCCGTGTTTTATACTGACTGGTCGGACCTGTTAAATATTACACGATACATGTATAAACGCGAACAAACCCTCTCGTATGCACGTGCTTTTCGATCAATTCATTTGTTTTCGCTCCCGCTGCAGGGAGGCAAATTTCACGTCTACCTATCAGCTCCGGCACAAAATGCTTTTCCTAGAATTTTTACTTTTTCAACATACCGAACCACCAGTACTCGAACGCACTCTTTAATCTACGATTACTACTAGTATAACTATTTAATTGATTTAAGTGCTACCCTCGCCGAAGGAATTTTGAATGACTGATTACGAGAGCCTCCCAGGGGTCGTAGGATGTTCCCCTGATACCTTGAAAATTTCACTTTTTCTCCCTTGTTCCATATAAATAAATTGCATTTTCGCTTGATTTCATTTTGTTCAAGGTTCCCTTTAATAGAGGATCTAGGTAACATCCCTTGTTTCTTTAAGTTGATCCCAAAAATATCTCTGTTCCCTTGAAATATATGATCAGGTTCCCTTGTTCCCCCAAAACCCCTGGGAGGTCCTGTCACTAACTGGCTGACTGACTGACTGACTGTCTGACTGACTGACTGACTTTCTGACTGACTGACTTTCTGACTGACTGACTGACTGACTGACTTTCTGACTGACTAACGGACTGACTGACTGACTGGCTGGCTGACTGACCGACTGACTGACTGGCTGACTGACTGGCTGGCTGACTGACTGACTGACAGATTTACCGATTGACTGATCGATCGATCGACATTTACATACGTTAAGTCGATAAAAATCTTAAACCATCCTATCCACTATGAGAAGTGTTAAAAAAATCCGTATTGAAACACTAAACAAATTGACAAAAGTTCAAAAGTTCAATTGAAGCCTTAAACTACTGTAAAAATCTTTACAAAAAAAAAAAAAACTNTGTCAGCCTTGCAGTAGCCTTCGACTTCGCATCGTTTTACTTTTCAAGTTTGCCTGATTAGACCTCCTGTAAGATCTAACTTTCAATCACGCAGGATCCTCGTTCACGGCTTTGCAGTTTATTAAGTTTCTCATTTCCAATGTAGAACTCTTAGAATTGTACCTTTGAGAAGAAATTGAAAAAGTTAAGCAACTGTTTCCAAATTCTCCCCTAGTTGGTCGAAAAAGTCGCTTAGAAACGACAAGAAATCTGGTGCGAGTATCATCTCGCAGTGGCTTGTGGGATCGTTACTGGGAACAATATGGCTCCTCGTCGTTTGTCCTGTCCTCAGTAACGGTCAAACCGCTGCGAGATGACACTTGCCCCAGGTTTCTTCTCGTTTCTAAAGTGTCGAATTTGGAATAAAGTGATAGAGTGCCTAGTTTATCAGTCCCCATGTGATATTTCCTGATTAACTTACACCACGCTCGTTATTCCAGATTGCAGCGGAATACAATTCGCCCGAATATAACTTGGGAACGAGGCGAAACGCTAAACATGATCCAGGTACTGTTCAGACACTGACTACTCGCAAACAATTTAGCACTTCAGATATAATTAGTTACACATATGTTAGGGGCTAGCTATACTGTCATACGTTCTTGAGATTCAACGATACCTTCTTCAGTTAATATTTCACGTCAACACGCCTTATTTCTGTCAGTTTTTTTTTATACAGATAAAATTCTTATCTTCGCTCCGCCATGTAATTTTCTCTTAATTACATAGACAAACTGACTGTTTGCACAAACAACCGCGAAAAAGCCTGAAATGACGTCATTAATATCCTCATTAGTAAGGATACGGAAAATACCGCACTCGGGTCCCGGATGTAGTGGTTTACTTTCCAGTAAAAACACTCGTGTCTATATAATAAAAGTATATACTGTTTTAAATGTTTAGACAAAGAATACCACAGTATCGAGGAGGTTGCAGAGGCGCTTGTCAACAGACAAGTGGAAGGGGTCCTGGTGGACACTTATGCGGCGGGGCTGAGAAGTGATCTCTTCGACCATCCCTCGATACGAGTGAGCAGTGTCCTTGACTACCAGACCGCGTATGGGATCGTACTTAGTCCCAAATCGACACGACTTGGAAAGTGCTTTGAGCGCTACATGCTTTCTCACAGGGCGGAGATTTTCGAAATGATTAAGAAAAAAGTCAAGCCAATCGAGGTAAGCAATGGCTAGTTAATTCTCCTTCCAAGAACAGTACATTTTTAAGTCGTTAGGTGAAGAGAAGGTGGACAATCATCAAAAAGAGAAAACTGAGTTGATGGAGTAACAAATTCTTTCAATCATTATGAAAAGAAATGAATAGAAATAAGTTAGAAGAATTGCACTTTTGTTCTTGGAACCCAAAAGGCAACTTAAGTGTCACGTGACCCGTACAATCATTGACAGACTTTCTTTTCCCCAATGTTTGCCCCACACATGTTAGGGTGTCCTGCATAACCTCAGTAACAATAGCAATAAAGATCTATTCAGGGTGCAAATGAATAGACGTGACAAGATGAAAGAATAAAACAAATGATTGACAACAAAAAAAGTAAAATAAATACTAGACAAGCCCTATGAGAAAACTCCCTTGAAATTACGAACACGAATGAACGAAAAGAGAGGCGACGGCAATATAATGATAAGATTGTAAAAATCGTTGTGTTTGCAAATTAAAATTATCTTATATCTAGGGTGAACTGTGAATTCATTCTTGAAAGCAGGCAAACTGAATGCTTCCATAACATTACGTGGTGACCTTCTCGCCTTTAACATAAAGTTTATAAGAATGATCGCTGTTACTAATTGTTGCTTGAACGTAACTTCACCAAAATTGCCAGAAAAATCGTGTTAAAAATAACTAATTTTGCGAAAAGTTTCCAATGCTAATTCGCATCAACAAACGAATATTCTCGGAATCCACACTACAGAACCGAAAAAACAAAAACACTTTGCAATGACATTGAGCAGTTAAAAAAAAAAAACAAATAAAAAAAAACAAACCAACCTAAAAACAGGATGTGTTAGTTTGCGACATAAAACAACTTTTACTGCACATATATTAGCACTCAGGGGTATGTCTCCATTCTTGTGGTATGAAGTAATCTCTCTCTCTCTCTCTGTACAGACCTCTAGCTCCAACTCCGATACACCAGCTGAAGAGAAAACTTCAGGCGGTTTGCTGGACAGCGGTTCCCCAGCATTCAACAAGGCCTTACGCTACGCATGCGTGATGTTAGGGATTGCCCTCTGCTTGTCCCTTGTCTACGAGTGCATACGATGTATAAGAGCAAGACAAAAGGTTCGACAGGAAGGTGAGAAAATGTTTGCTACGCCAAAGACTTCTTTGCCACTGCCTTTCTTGACTCGTCACACAACTTGCAAGCCACACTCGTCGCGCAAAGCTCTTTACGTATTACTTGTCACACGAAATTCGTCACGCAACACTTGTACTAACGAGCTCTGTCGGATAGGTGGAGATAGCCTTGGTAGAGTCTAAAAACTCTATGCACGTTTATAACAGATTGCTTCGAACATAAACCAAGTATCTATTGAGTGAACGTTTGAAACCCACAGGCAACTTCCAAGAAACCTTTTTTAAGCAGCCGGCAGAAAGCGCGGGAAATCTTGCCACTGGTCACAAGCGCAGTAAAACACGTAAACGTTAAAAAGCGCGCGAAAAAAAAGATCCAGTTTTGTACCTGATTGGCTGAGAGGAAAAGAAAAGAGCTTTGCTCTGATTGGTTAAATTACACTGTACGTGTAAAACTGACCAATAACTTGGTATGCTGACACATTTTGCCTTCTTTTTTTACATTGCAGTGTACTTCAAGACAATACTAGTAAGAGAAATGCGGAGTTTGATAGACGAGTTTATCCAAAGGATAAAGGAAAGTAAAGCCAAATTGGGAGAAAGACACCGAAAACAAATCGTCAGTTTTTGGAAACTTAAACGAAAATCCATGTGTCGCAGCGGTAACGAGAGTGAGTGGCTGAGGATTTCTACGGCGTCTCCCCACAGGGGTGATGTGACCATTACCGATCTGTAAATCATATGTTAAGACACAATGCACTCAGTGTCAACCTGAATGCTCGATGCTAAACCTAGAGGAGTCTTAGTTCCCACGATGTCTCTGTAGCGCAAATAATTTCCTTAAGCCTTATGTCAAAGTTCAATAGCTGGCGCAATTCTTCTACAATCAGTTCCGGTGGCAGGTGTAAGAGAATCAACTTTAATGCTGAATGAGAAATTTCGTTTTCACAAACGTCAAATCAGTTTACAGATGTTGACATTGTCGTCTTGCATCAAAAAAATTTCTGTAAATATTTCAACTTTTCAATGCCTTGACGAAAGCAGGTTTTTTCGTTTCCTTTCAAACGTAGCGTCATAACTATATTTTGTATCTTGTGACTAGCTTGTCGAATGCACGTGATTAAGTCCAGTAAGTGTGTATACTCTGTCGCTACCTAGGGAATCGTCATATATTTGGGGGATGTCTGGTTGAGGGAACTGTTTCACGAATTTTAGCCAAATTTAGACATATATGTATATAAAAGGCCACCAAATCAACTAAAATATAAAAATATCCACTTAAAACAGCAGAGAAACATTTCAGTAACACAACAAATACCAAAGAAGGTAAGGATGGACAAAAATTAAAGAAGATCAAAACGGATTGCATGTTAGGCTGAACAGTTTTTAAACTTAATCTGGTTTGTTTGTCACCTTTATAACGCCCGGGAGACATATTTGTTTTAAATGAAGCCGTTTTGTCATTTAGATCCGGAGTGATTTTTTCGTTTACTTCAAGTTTCACACTGAGTCTTTGACAAAAAGTAATAAAAAAGACTAAACTCAGCCGTGACACAGTCCCTTTTAATGTGTTAAGAAATGACCAGTGTCACAAGGCCTGTAGGTTCTCAGTATCGCCGTTCGTGCGTTTTTTCTGTGGGGTCTTCCAATTTTCTCGGCCAATCAAAGATGCAACCAACATGCAATTTTTCTGCCTGCCCAAGTCTTCACCTCCTAAATTAACTCGTTTTGTGATTGGCTACATAGGGAGAGGTCCTCCCATTGATGAATCAGTCCAGGAGTCACGAGTCGTTTAATGTAGTCAATTAATCGCTAGTCAAATTGCAATACGTTTAGCCTGAATATACAGTTCTGGTTAGCGCGAAAAAGTGTGTAAAAATCTCAAAATGACACCCAGGTATTCGCTTATAGTAAAAGCTTTATAGAAATACTTTTAGAATGAAAAAATTGTCTTAACATAACTAAAAAAAAAAGGTATGTTCATCGTTACACCGCATGCATGTTTAGTTGAATTACATATGTAGAAACAAATAAATAAACGTTGTTTTACCAAGAAGTGTTTGACCGAACACTCCAAAACTAAACAGAGAGGTTTCTTTTAACCGTAGTGTGATCTATACATGTAAGAGGTTTCACGAATTGTGTTATCAGCTAATGCTTAAAGATTCCTTAAACTTCTAGACGGCATTTTGTACACATTATACGCGATACTAGTTTAAAGTAATATTATAGAAAGTTAAAGGTAAAAATAAACCGCTATTTTACGTTCAGTGAGCGCTGTTTTTTTTTTTTTTGTTGTTAGAAATAAACTATAAAGACCAACAATGATGCAAATTTAGCATGTAATTTCAGAGAAATCAAACGATTTAAAATCGGCAAATCTTTCTTTTTGATTTTCCCTTGGCCTATAATGGGCCATTTCCGAGTTAACTTATGCCTCTGTTCCAAAACGAGTTTGATTTGTATGAAAATAAACCAGTAGGCAGAACACATTTTCATAAGAACGGTTTCGCATGAACTTTTAACACAGAGGAAAAAGGCAGTCCGAAAATGGCGTATTGCCTTCGCCTTCAAGAGAATGAAAAGAAAAAAACGAGAGAGAAATTTGGTCCACAACTGCTGACCTACCACAAGTACATCGCAGTATTCAAGGGATTAAAAGCTAACCAGACTGCAGTTCATTCTCAGCTATTCGTGTTGAGTTGTCACTGACTAGCGACGGAGCGCATTTAAAAGAAATGTTCGTTTACTTTCCATAAAAAGCTAATAGGCCACGTTCATTGACTTACTTAGGCGTGAAAAACGACTGAATTGTTGTTCGCTGTTTTTTCTTCGGGGGTTCATTAATAGATAAATCCGATTTATTGGCTGCAGTGGAGTTTCTTTCTACGTTTTGCAACTCAACAGCAAAATGATAATCTAAATGTTCCGGCATTTCCCAACCAGGAAATCTTTGTCCACATTTCTCACACTTCTGCAAATCTGTCAAGTCCTCGCCGTCATCAGAAAATCCGTCATTCTCGATAATATTTGGCGTTTCGTTGAATGAAGTACTTTCTTTACCACACGTCGATTCTCGCGCACCAAAGAAACTATTTACCTGCCCTTTTTTAGCTCCATGATTTCTTTGTGCAAGCGACTGTTTAATTTCCCGGCGAATTTCTTCTGGTAAACTTTCCAACACTGCAGAATCGATCTCGCATCCCAGGTATGGATTTGGCCGGCCAGTTGGCCGCTCGCTGTTCTTCAGTTTTCTCTCGTTAGAATGCTTCCCAGCGAAAAACGCTTCTATCCCTTTCTTTTCCGGGCAGGTAATCTCACTTACTTTGGAGTTACACGCAGTTTTCCCTTTGTTTATGCCTTCTTTGCCATTTTTAACACCATTTTGTCGTTCAACGTGATTTTCCTCGTCCCGACCAGCGGGAACGAAGTTGAAAGCAAAGCAGGTCTCTTCATTTGCTTCTTCTGAGTTCTCAATCGCGCCAGAAAAACGCCCGTGTTTCTCGTTTTCTGTTATCATATTTGGTACCGGGTGGCTTAACGTATTTGTGATCGTTTCAGTCTTGTTTTTCTTGCTGAAGAAGGAGCTAATAGACGGCGTACTGTTGTGATCACTTATTTCCTCAAATTTACTCGCTGACATCTGTAGACAGATGATAGCCGGGAACCTGAGGAATTAACGAAGCTTTCATCAACGTTGCAAAAGTGTTTTCGGCAAGTTTACAACAGCAGAGATCGGGGAAAAGCAATGTAAAGTTGGGATAAACGTCGAGTAGAAGTCGGGAAAATGTCGGCAAAAAGTCGTACAACACTGGTGGAAAGGTCGTGTTGAGTCGGCAAAAAGTCGCGTGACGCTCGTCAGTAGAAAAGTCGTATTGAGTCGGGAAAAAGTCGTGCGACACTCGGCGTAGAAAAGTCATTTTGAGTGGGCAAAAAATCATTCGACACTCTCGGAAAAGTCATGTTGAGTCGGGATAAAGTCGTGCGACACTCGTGGAAAACTCGTGTTGAGTGGGAAAAAAGTCGTGCGACACTCGTGGAAAAGTCGTGTTGAGTCGGGAAAAAGTCATGGGACACTCTGAAAAGTCGCGTTGTGTCGGTTAAAATGCGTGCGACACTCGTGCAAAAGTCATTTTGAGTCAGGCAAAAGTCGCGTAAAAGATGGGAAAGTGGTGTACAAGTTGAACTAGTGTCGCGTTAAACTTAAATAAAAGCCGAGTAAAAAGTCGCATGATTTAAGTTTAAATGCCGTAGCTGGTTTTCTAGTCTCCTCCGCAGCCGTTATTAGGGTCGTCACGCAACGCTTCTTAGTTAGTGGGGGAGAAATGTTGCGTGATGACCCTAATAACGACTGCGGAGGAGACTAATGGTTTTCATGCAGGTCCCCTAATCGCTCGAATTGGAATTTGGAGATGTTGGTTTTTGTGGAGGAAGGAAAACCGGAGAACCCAGAGAAAAACCCTGAGAGCAAAGCGAGAACCAACAACAAACTCAACCCGCATATGACACCGGGCCGGAATCGAACCCGGGCTACATTGGTGGGAGGCGAGCGCTCTCATCACTGCGCCATCCCTGCTCCCCGCCACTACACGAAAGTCATTTATAAGCCAAGACGAATGAAAGTCGGCTGACAATCGGGCAAAAGTCGGGTAATCTTCGAAAAAAATATGGGTAAAAGACGAAAAAAACTTCAGGTTATTAGGTCCAGTAATTTCCCGTTAGATGTCAGGCAAAGGTAGATTAAAAATATATTTGCAGAGATTGGAAGAGATTGTTTCAGCGGTTTTAACATCTATTCGACGCAAAATTGTTAAGTATGTATAAGCACTGTTTACATCCGTCAAGAAAAATCTTCGTTGTTGGTGTGAAACCGATACATGAAGATTCACGATTAGCACTTGTTCGAAAACGCGTGTAGCTCACGCGCGGTGTTCATGCATGCGTGTTCTCGCGCGACAGCCAACCGTATTACTTGCTCCGTAACTGTCGCGCTAGTAAGTAAATAGAACTCTGTTTGGCTTCGAATTTATACAGATAGCAAAAAATAGTGCTAACATCTTCGAAGATGTTACGCGCTAAAAAGTAATAGTGGGCCAATTTTTTTTGACTTCCTTAGAAAACAACTGATTACAGAATACTATGCATATGACTGATTTTCTTACCACGTATCCGTTTTGTTGTCCTTGACCGAGTTGAATGGTAACAGCAGATTATACGCGTCTTTGGCGATCTGACGGGTTGATGAATCTTTAAGGTGGCATGACCGAGTGAAGGAGGAATTGCTTTCAGTTTTGAAACCAACACCTAAGAGCTTTGCCTCGCGGTTATTCTGTGGGAGAAAAGATCAAGAAAGCCTATAAACAAGATTCACGCAAAATAGCAGTTATGTATAGTTTAAAGGAGCTAGATGTAGGTCCGGTTTGCGCATCTTGGAAAGTTTAACCTAAGTGTTTCAAGTTTGACGTTTGTAATCCGCGTCAATCTTCTCCATCCTTAGCCATTCTTGTTCCTTTATGGTTTATTACTACCTCTTTGGTGTTTTTCTATCTTAGTACACTATTTTTTTCAGGTTTCCTTCAATTTAAAGGTAATTTTGTACGTGGTCAAAATAACTGACTCAAAATACCGTGACTGAGTTCCTTTAAAGTAAATTGTGCTGGTCTATATAAACAAGACTTTCTGATGTCAGATTACCAATTCGGATTCCCTTGTGAGCCGTTCATGAAGCTCGCTTGCCAGTTGATCCACCCAGTACTTGACCTGCGAAGAAAGTTAACATCATGTTAAATAAAAGTAATTCATTTACTGGAACATTTTAAATAACAACCCTTCTCTCCTTTG